GTAAGAACAGCCCCTAATTTCCTTTGTTCTTGCTTGAATTGGCTTGGGTTAACTTTGATTGCTCTTATTTCCTTCAATTTTTGGGTAGCCCGTGAGCTTTCTTCTTCCATGCCGCCGGCCTTTCCCCAATCTGCAGCTCCGGTTTTAGCTGGAGAATTATGGTATGTGACAGCCTTTTAAGGCTTAAATTATCCATTTAAAGTTGTTGCTTGTGATGTCCGAATTTGGCTAGGAAATGGGGATAATTCCGGTAGCTTTAGGATGAAGTTTAAGCATTGATTTAAGTGGGATTTATGTGATTGAGTATTAATTGCTTGATGTGATTTTTGGAGAGAAAATCCCGTGAGATTAGCTAGTGTTTTGGCCAATTTGTGGAAGTGGAGTTACTGTTCACGTCTGGGTCACTTTTCACCGGTTACTGTTCACACCCCGAGGGCCAACATTTAACGGGAATTTAAATGATTAGTTTGTGATATGAGAACGAATTTGGAGATGTTCGATCATGTGGAAAGTGATAGAAATAACATTGTGATTAGGAATGATCCCAATGATGATTTCAGCTTGAATTTGTGATAGTGGTATTAATTCTTGAAATATCTTGATTAGGTTCTTGATCGTCCTGTCAGTTTAGTACGTGAATTGAGTGCTCGGTTTTATGCGAGTGGGGTAAGTAAATTTATGGTAATGCCCGTACAGTTTTAAAAGCATGTTTTGATTTGTTTTTGAAGTGGTGGCAAGACTAAACCCGTTTTACACAAGTATGACTGATTTGAAGTTCTAAATTTTTATGCTTTTCATGAAATTGAGCATGCCTACTTGGAATTTAATTGATTGTCCCGATGATTTGAAAGTGATTAGTGAATTATGAATTTTCTGTTAACTTCTGCCTATTTTGTCTTCGATACGGTCATGTTATCCTGTTGCCTGCTAGTGGGAGGTCAAACGCTAGCACATGTCGACATGTTCCTGATAGAACCAGTTCATTCCTGTAATCCTACTAGTGGGAGTTAAACACTAGCAATTCCTGTTGCCTGCCAGTGGGAGGTTTAAACACTGGTCATGACCTATAGAGGAGACGTCTATTTCGTTCCCGCACTGTATCCGTTTTTCGTGATTGTACTTGTTGGCATGCTATAAGTTTAATAAGAGCACTCCATATTTACTTACTGAGTTTATCTCATAGTTTTTCCTTGTCCACCATTTCAGGAAGTGAAACCGAGGACGGAGAAACCACGAGAAGTGACGAGTTAGAAGACTAGTCATTTCGAGATTGACATAGATTTTAGATATGAATCATGATCTTGTATTGGGAGATTTTATTGGAGATTTTATTGGAGATTTATGATATCAGAGAGATTTTATAATTTGATCTTCAGATTTTGATGGTATCAGAGTGTGAATTTGATAAGTTTTGAGCCTTGTGCATTTGTGGGACCCGTCTCACGAGTGCACGGCGTCTGTTGCGCCTCGAATTTGGGTTTTGGGGCGTGACAAAACCCTTGAAGCCATCAACGTCCTAATCTCTCTTTGATGCTACTTCTTCTCATCAAGATCGCTACTTTTTGTTCTTCTTTCCTTGTTCGTGATTTGAAGGCCCTATGGGTGCTCCTTCTACAACTTTTTGGTCAGAAATCATCCCGATTGCTCATCTTTTCATCCTTACTTTGAATTGGGTTAACTCTAATTCTTTAGGGTTTTCAATTTTGGGATTTTTCTATAGATTTCCTCCTTGGTTTTGCCTTAGTGCCACCAAATCTAATTCCTTTTGGTAGAAATTCTGACAACATGACCTGTGTTTTGCTTATAAGTCTTTTTGTATATATTAGATTGGGTTCATTCTTGATTCTATAAAAAGTTAAGAGATAACTTTACAATTTTTATGTTAGACGTTATGGTGAAAACTCTGCTGCAAGTTTAATTTGCGCAAGCAGACAAAATTGGTAGCTTGACCCTAAGTTAGTATTTCCATCATAACTTTCTTTGTTGATGTCGAATTGAGGTGATTCTTGATTCTATCAAACGCTAACACATAGGGCTACAATTTATCTGTTAACCACTCAACTCAAATTAGTCGATTTCTAGATGAAAATTCTGTTAGAACTTTTGGTTCAGAATCTGACCAGAACTTGCCAGAAATTTGCTCTGTTTTTTGTTTTATTCCCACTTTATCTATTGCTACATTGCATCATGGTTTTAGTAGACTTTTTCTTGTTGTTTTCCTACTATAAAGTCCCTTGTAATCTACCATGTTTTGCTACTGTCTTTTTGCCCAGAAATCCCTATTATTCATGACTTTTTCAAAGTATTTTGGGACTTCTTTAAATGATAGAAACCCCCCACTTTACTACCCAATATTTCTGCTGGTGTCTAGGATGATTTTTAACTCAGTTTCTCCCATTTTTTGACCTTATTTTTTCTAAAAATTTTGTTTGGGATACCTGCTGTTTCGTGTGTCTTTTTAGAGCTATTTTAAGTATATTCTAAGTATTCATTTGATGTGATATTGGTTCTAAATCACCTTAACAACCTTGAGTCCTTGAAGTTCTAGCTTCTTGTATACCTATGAGGCGAAGTAAGTAAAATTATGGTAAATGCCCTTGGATTTTGAGGTAAAGGTTTTAAAACCATATTTTTGAAGTGGTGATAGGACTCAACCCATTTTACTCAAACACGAGCATGATTGGTTAAGGTGAAGTTGTTATTATTTTTATTGAGTTGAGCATGTCTAGATGGAGTTTACTTGTTTATTCTGGAAATCTAAAATTGGTTTGTAAGTTATGAATTTTCCTGTTAACTCCTACATATTTGTAAATTATAGATTTTTCTATTGAACTTCTGCTTGATTTTGTCTTTGATATGGTCATGATTCTTGAAGCCTGCTAATGGGAGTTGTAAACGCTGATATATGTTGACATGTATTCTTAGAAACCAGTTTATTCTTGTTATTTTTGCTAGTGGGATAGTACACTAGTTATTCTTGAAGCCTGCCAGTGGGAGTTGTTAAAGGTTAGTACCCTTTTTGGTCCCTTTACTATAGGAAAAGCCCTTTTTTGATCCTTGTACCGAAAAAATCTCCTTTTTGATCCCTAAATTTTAAAATCTGGCCTCTTTTGGTCCTTCCATTAAATTTTTGCTGATATGTCACATTAATTAACAAAATTAATTGATTATTTTTAATATAAATAATATTATAAATGATATAGAAATTAGGTGGAAATTTCATTTACATATTTTAATACCACGTGGCAAAAGAAACACTAAATATTTTAATTAACGAAATTAAATATTTTTTTCTCCTAAACTTCTTAATCCATGAATAAAAAGAATTTAAACAAAATTAATTTTAATTTCTTCATCTTCTTCTTTCTCCTCAGCCTTATCCTCCTCCTCATTCTCATCCTCGGCATCCACCATCCTCTTCAAGTCTTCATCATCCTAGGTTCCTCGCGGAACCCAGATTTGGGTTCCTTTGACCCTCTTTTTTGTTTCATTTTTTTTAAAATTTTGAATGTATTTATCTTCCATAAAGGAGCCGAATGAAACCAAAATTTCATATTCAGATGTGTTCGATATTTGGGTTTGATATCTAGGTTTGAAATTGCAGGTAATAGGTTGATGTTGTTGTGTTCATGTTGCCATGAGTAAAGTGAAGGATCTGTTTTGCAGAGGAGAAATTAATGTTTAAAGTATTGATAAATTATTTTAATTAGTAATTAACTTTTATTTTTAACAATGAAAATATTCTTATGAATTGTGGATTATATCTTGACCAATCTCATCTATAAAAGATTGATTATAAATGAAAAACAAGAATTTTGAAAGAAGGAAGATGATAGTTGGAGAGGGAGCTGTAAACATTGATTAGGGTTTGTTCTTGCACGGAGAGTTATTAAGTGAGTCATTAAAGTCCACGTAAGTGTCTCTATAGGATGGAATGTCCATGTCGAATGTTGCTGTTAAGATAACATGCCACAAATTTAACAGAAGGACAAAAAAGGGGCCCGATTTTAAAATTTAGATACTAAAAAGGGGATTTTTTTGGTACAAGGACCAAAAAGAGGCTTTTTTCAATAGTAGAGGGACAAAAAAGGGTATTTAACCATTGTTAAACACTAGCCATGACTTATTAAGGAGACCACTACTGCGTTTTACTTTGCATTAATGGTTTATATATGAGATTTTCTTGTAGTTTATGTTTTAAATTCCTTATCTAGCATACTTTAACTTTAAATAAAGGCTATCCATATTTTACTTACTGAGTTATCTCACATAATTTTTCCTTGTCCACCATTTTAGGTAGTAAGACCCGAGAGGTGGGAAACCGAAAGGAGTGATAAGCTAGAAAGTTAGCCATTTGTATTTTGGATTTAGATTATTGTGGAGTTAGGTCGCTAGTCACCTATATTTTGGATATTGATTGTAATACCCCAAAAATTTCAAGAACAAATAAGTGTGAGCGAGGGACCTATTTGTGAGAAAATCATATTGTTGAGCTTAATCATCAATTTTCAAA